CAGGAATTCAACAATGGTTGTTATATTGCATATTGTTGTCTTCAAAGTAGTTGTTCAGAATACCAGATATAGGCATGTAAAATTGGTCAAAAAAAATTAAGCATTAACTGTTCCTTTCAATAAACCAATAGAAATTAGTAGTACAATTATCTTAGCTATCTTGTGTGTGTATATATATATGTGTATTTTTTTACACTTCCTTCCTTCTTTTCTCCTTTCCCTCATCCAGTTGTTCTTCCTTTTGAGCAGTTTCTTTCCCTTTCACAATATCTACTGTACCTTTCAGGTTTCATTTACTCCTTCAGGTTCCTACACTAGGGAGACAGTAAGATGTTTACACACTCGGGTCTGAACATGTGCTTTACAACCAGCCCTCCCTGGGTGGCGGGGAAGCCCTGATTTGTAGCATCTCTTGATTCCGGTAGCATGAAAAAGCCAACACCAAGCTACCACTGTCATGTGAGAGCTGGGGAAGAGAGCCCACAACTGGCTCTCACAGGCCTGTGGGAGCCGGCCGCGGTATGCTGCTGTCAAATGCTTTATCTTTTTATTCCTCTAGCGCTCTTATTTTACTGAAGTCCGTGCCTCACACGGAGACAGTAGAGTGTCTCCCATCCCCTGTCCCCTGTAGAGGTACACCTCACCTTGACCACGGTCTTCCGGGATAGCTGAAAGTCCCTGGAACCCTCAGCAACTCAAGTAGACTGCAGGCTCACCCCTCCCAGGAGCAGCAAACTCAACGTCAAAGAGTGCTTAGGAGGACTGCCAGGACGAGATCCTCTTAGAGAAAAGGGAAAGGCAGAGCAAGGAGAAAACACTTGCTCCTCCCTTGCTTTCTTTTTCTATTTAGCTTTCTCTCTTTCTTTCTTTTTTTTTTTTTTTTTGACCGTCAAGGGGTGTGTTTTTTGGAAGTAAAGACGAAAGCTCCCCACTGTTGGTTGGGAGGGCTCCAGAAACGGCTACGGAGTGGGTTCTTCCTCTGGACTCCTGTGGATACAGAGAACGCGGGAACCTGCTCAGCGTTCCGCGCTGGCCTATCACAGGCACAGCTTTCTTTATTTAAAAAAATGTTTCATTACTATATGTCTGCAGTCTAAATGAGTACGTTCATCATGGTGAATTGGTGCATGTGTATATCCCATCTTTTTTTGTTGTTGTTGTTGTTTTGGTCTTTTTTTGGTACCAGGAATCGAACTCACAACCTCACGCTTGCCAGGCAGGCGCTGTGCCGCTAAGCTAAATCCCTGGCCATGTCCCATCTTGATTTCCCCCTTTCCCTACTCTTTTTGCATTTTGCTTTTGAAGGAATGGTGGCAAGGAGCGCCAGGTGCTCACACCTAATTTCTGAAGATATCTCTGTTCCTAGAAAAAAACAAGGAAGCTGTCTCTTTCCTTCCTGTGACTGTACTGGGAGTGTTTATGTTTATGAAACTCCGTGGCAAAGGGAAATTACCTGCAAGTGGACTGGTAAAAGGCATAGGGCTTGTAAACAGGGAAAAAATGAGGCATTGCTACCTCAATCCAGGTCCTGTTTCTCACTTGGATTTGTGGAATGGATAAGAAGTTTTGAGCACCAACTGAGCAGGGAAGGAGAATTTTATCTTTGGCCAAAGCTAAAATGGAAGTAGGAGGTAAGCCGGGTATGGTGGCCCACGCCTGTAATCCCA